GTCCTTCAATCAAGCAAATGGTGATAAAAAGTAAAAAATTCCAGCTTTTTTTTTTTTTTTTTTTTTTTTTACATTTCTGTCAGTGTTACTTAGAATTTTGAAAAGTGTGATTTGTGTGTGTGAGGGGGCGGGGGGAAGGAACTTAAAATAAAACCATATGCTTGAAAAAAAAGAGAAATGTTCAACTTGTGTTGTGTTTCTTTTTGAAATTTCTGTCAGTGTTTCCCAGAAACCTTGGTTTTTAATAAAGGGAGCACTTGTTATAAAAAGCTCGAGAAGCCCTTCAGTCTTTATTTGTGTGTGTCTCTTTCAGGAACAAGGAAAAATCGGCGTGACGTTTAACATCGGGACAGTGGACATAAGCGTCAAGGAGTCAAACACAGAGGTAAACGATGGCAAGTACCATTTGGTCCGATTCACGAGGAACGGGGGCAATGCGACCTTGCAGGTGGACAACTGGCCAGTCAACGAGCACTTTCCCTCAGGTACAGCCAGCATCATTTATCATTTATCTCGTAACATAAAAGTGATAGTTCTATACAGCCTAAGAATCACTGGACACCATCTATTTTTATTATTTCATTTTCAAGGGCAGTCGGCGTTTGAGTTGACAGCCCGGGAGGCAAGCGCTCACGAAATGGTTGTTTGGCAAACTACGACTCAAAATACGTCAGTCCTTTCACACTACCATACCTGAGTCGGTGGGGGTGGGAACACTCTGAGCCAGGATCCTTTGTCTTGCAAGAGGCATTAACTGTGCAACATTTGGCCAGCTCAATACGAAAAGAGGGATTCAAAGGCACCGAGAGGCATTTTGGTCGATGGAGAGGCGAGAAGGAGAAGGAGGCAGAGGACCTAGGGTGGCCTGTTGGCCAGATAACACCGCTGCCTCCCTGTATCTCTCATTCCCAGGTCAGCAGAAGCGGTATGGCGGCAGAATACAAATAGGCTCATCAAACAGAAACCGCTCCGTTTGGAGGTCTGGGAACTCTGCTTCTCTGTAGCAGATACCTGTGTGCTGCTCTCCAAGTGAGGAGAGACTGACAGAGTGGAAGGACGAGAAGAATGATCTCTTCCTGCTTCTACTTGAGTCCGGTAAATTGGACCGGCTCTCAATTTCTGTCTTGGAAGTCGCCCAACTTTCAGAAAGCTACATTGTTTCCCTCTTTCATGTTCTCCAATTTAGATGGTGTGATGTAAGGTGGCACAAATGTCCTCGACTATCTTGGTAAAATAGTGGCGTAAAAGCAATATTGCGGTTGCTTTGGTTGTATTGTTCTTCCAAGGAAGGGTGCAGTCATGAACTGAGATATATCAGGTGCACACTCGGCCAAAAACAAACAGAAAAACTGCAGACTTCTGGAAAGACAGCAGATCTGAGTTGACCACTTTAGCCCCCACATGATGCTCCCAGTAGCATGTCTTCACCAGAACTGCTTCTTTTCTTGGCACAACCTGGCATGCCGGGTGGTTTGGTTCAGAGCCAGCGCAGGTGACGCTAATTTCTTCTGTCTCGGGCTTTTTTTTTTTTTGCTTTTGGCTGTTCTCCGCTTTTAGTTGACCAGATGACTTCAGACAGGTTTCATAACTCCATTCCAGCCTGAGTAATGGGGCAAAACGATGAAACAAACCAATGCATTGTGGAGTCAAAAGTAACATCAACAAATTCGATTTATAGAAGCGTGCTGGTGGTATTGTTGAGTGGTTTTTGTTTTCAACATTTTACTGAAGCACATTCACTAGAAGGGCAAAAGAGTTTTCTTTACCTGTTTTAAACAGAAATGAACACCAAGTACTTTTGTAAATAATGACACTTTAATGCAAAGTTGGAACTTTTAATGGATGGTTAATGCAACTTTTACAGCAACTTTGCATTAAAAGTGTCATTATTTACCGAATGACATTTCATGACAACAGTTATAGACATTCATAAAGACTCCTTCATGTTTATGACAGAGTCATGTCAGTCTTATGAACACCAAATTTTACTATCATTAGCCAATCAGGGACTTTTTTTTTTACCCCTGGACGTCATGAAGATCTCATTTCTGCCTACCAGTTGTTGTGTTCAGGCAATCAAAAGTGTTGCAGTTGACTTCTGCACCCATCCTAAGTGTTGGTAATAAAGCTGCAGGAGCCCTCAGTGCCCTTCCCTTTTTCAGCCCTATAAAAGTCTTCTCCTCACATCTTGTGAGTAATTGCATATTAGAGTCCAGGCTCATGCTTTCTCTAACTCCTAATGCTTTGCTCAACATGAATAGCAGCCAAAATGCTCCGGTATACAAGCATAGGGGAGAAAATTTTACTTTTTATGCCAACATTGTGGATTCTGCAAAAGATGGGTTCAAGTCAGACAACATTCAGATTTAATCAAATTTTTCTTTAACTTTTTTGGCATCATTTTGTTTTAATAACTTCATTAAGTTCACATCTTGTTTAGAAACATCCAAATAACAATCATTTATATTTCATTAAATGAATATTTAAAGCCAGGATCTGGGACATATTTTCATAGAGCCGATGTGTGTGTGCGTAAGTTAGCAGATATGAGTCAGTTTCGCGAATATGTACAAATACACAGTATAAAAACAAAGAACAACTTTTCTTCTCTACAGAAACGACACCTTGGGGTAAAAAAGAAAAAAAAGAAAAGCCAAGTTAAGAAATTTAGCTTTTTTTGCCATGCAACTTATTTTTGATTATAACCAAAGGTAATAAATAAAGATGAGTTTTAAAATTTTTGCTGCTGTAGTTTGCACTACGGTGACAAATTATTCTAACGCGACAGAAGAAGTATATTAAAAGCACATTTACGCCTACAGCAGTTCGGTATACACGGTTTAGGTGATACATTTCTAAAAGTTTGAGCAATGGTTGCAAATAAGCTCGATGAGATATTTACTGTATGTTAGATTTATTTCCCTGCTGTGCCTGATAAAACGGTCTGAGAGCGTTTATACGGTTTAGCTTCTATTTTCATTAGTAAGTCAGCAGTTCAGAGAGAAACAGGCGTTCGAGTTTTGACAACAGGTGCGGCGTTGACAAATTGAGAACATCAGCTTTATGAAAAAATAGATGGAATCACTTAAACACTGTCAAGACCGAGCGAAGACAGCAAATGCAATAAAGTGAAGATTGAACGTCTCGTAGAATATAAAAAAGCAAAGTTTATTGGCTAAAGTTGGTGTTCAGCAGGCCAACCGATGAGTAGGGGTAGCAGCAAAAACAAACATTTCTCAAGAATAAAACAAGAAAGGTTAACAAGTGCTTTGGATATAAAAAAAATTCTTTTACTGAATATATTTCTATCTTTTTTTATTAGAAAATTATAGAAATATCATAATATTGTCATCACACATCAGTAATCTACACATTCAAGCCAAGTAAAATTAGTTCATGGTATCATTTTATATGGGGAAAGAAACTGGAATGACAGAAAATAAATAGTGAATGTACTTAAAGACATCTGCATGGAGAAACTGGTCACAAACATTACTCTGGTGTGAATTTGACCCATTATTCCACTCAAATTGTCTCATTTGGAAATCCATACTTGTTTTCTCTTTAGACTTTTATCAAGAACATCCCAGTTCATTCCTCCTACTTTCAGTAATATGAAGTTTCCAGGACCAAATGCTGTAAATCAGCTTCCACCGTGATGCTTCTACCTGCAAGCCTTTGGTGTTTTTTGGGTTGATTTTGTAAAACTATTCCTTCTCTGAACGTGGTGTGTGGAGTGATGCCCAAAGAGTTCAGCTGATCTGATGAGACTCTCCCAGTATTTCACTGTCTGAAGCAAAATCTTCATCAGCAAAGCCTAAACATGCATTTTCTTCAGCAGTGGAGTGTTGCGCAGTAAGCGTACATAAAGGATTTTGTGGTTTGTTTTTTCTTTTTACTAGCTTCTTACGTGACCTGGGCATATTTTGCTCTAAAACACAAAGTCTTACTGTCAGAACTCTCAAGAGGCAGTGAAATTATTTTTCTTTCCACCTATCAGTCCAATGACTCTCACCACAACGTTCAGAATTCTAGAAAATGTGGCAACAGCACAACTTTTTTTTTTTTACTTTCATCAATCATAACAATATACAACTCTTTTTTTTTTTTTACTTTCATCAATCATAACAATATACAACTCTTTGGTAAAGAGAAACTGTTTAACAGGCCACCATTGGATCAGATAATCAATCAATACTCATTCTGTATTGTATCATATCTTCTTGCTCAAAACTTCCTTTGTGGACTGATTTGTTTGTGTCAGTCGATTACTCGGAGTCGTTGCCAAGATCTGGTGTGAATTTAGCGTCTGAATTTAATTGCTGGGGAATAAAATATTTATTTTAACCTTATTTTATTTAATGGAAAACACGACAGGGTACTAATATCCACATTGTTGATGTTGAGCCATCTGCGCTCCCAAGATATCAAGATTCTATTAGCGCAGCCGAACGCAGGGCGACATTCACCCAGCGGTTTCCCAACATAAAAATAGAACCCTTTAATGCTGCTTGTATTAAGAAATCAGAGTCCTCAGCAGCGCCGCTCATCCGTACAACAATATCCCCCACTCTGATCCTATACAGGAACGTTTCCGTCAGGCTTTCGGGAGGAGAGGGGGGAATAATGCGTGCGCGTTTGCGTGTGGGCGTTGGATTTGTGCGAGTGTTGACTGCTTTGTCTCTTCCTTTTCTCTAATTATTCTCCCCCCCTCTGTCGGAATCTTCTCAGATCTGTTCTTTTTTTCCTCTTTTCTTTTCCTCCATCCGTGTTTCTCCTCCTCCTTCCAGTCGCAGCTCATCACGGGTTTCGCATCTCTCCCGCAGTCCCGTGTACTTGTGTGACAGCCCGCATTTCTGCAGGGGCTCGCCTTTTGTTTAGTGAGAGGGCTCCAATTTCCTTATATAACATTCAGAATCGCTGTACTCTTTGATTACACGGTCTCGATTTATTTTATTTTATTTTATTTTTTTTTGTGTGTGCACGAGCTTGAATCTTTGAATCAAAGAATTACAAGATCCAACCGGGCAGAAATTGCACATCGCCCTTTTGCCTTGAGCTGGCTGCGGTTCACGCATTGTCTCAGATGAATGGCCATTAGCCTAACTACTCAGTCAGTGCCTGAGGGAAGCTACGTCTTTCTGTGTGTGTGTGCGTGCACGGGTTTCATCGCTCGTGGTGCACGCTAGCTAGTTAGCCGTAGCAGCAACAATCCCGCTTTCATTTTAAAACACATACGGATGTACGATTCTACAACCTGACACAGACATCAGACGATCTTTTTTTTTTTTTCTAGAATCACAGTGATGTAGAAAAACGAACAATTCCTCATGAGCGAGACAAATCCCAGTGTGTCCGTGGGCCAAACGCAGTTAGCCCTATCTGAAACACCATCTCTTGATTCTTTTTGCTCTGAGCTCTGCCTGACTAATTTGTTCCTGCAACATCATCTGAAGATGACCTGAAAAATGATGAATACACTCCCCGCTTTTGTCCCATTTCCACCGGAGTGGACACTGATGGAAGAAAAACCAAAACAAACAAACAAACACACAAAAAAACAGGTTTTAAAGTAGAAAACATTCGTTGGCGTAGGGCAGACAAGGCAGACGCGTGTGAACTGATGGAGAGAAATGCATTTGTGAATGAGGAAAAAAGTAAATGGATGACAGCAGTTGAAGAGGCTTATATCACCGAGATGAGTGCACCGGGCTGATTGCTGAGACACGGAGAGGGAGAAAATGAAGGAGCGGAATACGACTGGATGAGAAGAAAAGAACGAGAACAAATGACCTGAGGATGAGGACAGAGAGAGAGAACCAGCATGAAAGTCCGGTGTATATTACAAAGAACTAGGTGGCGATGGGTATTCATAAACAGTGGCTAGCTGCAGATTTGAGCCTGTTTTGGGACAGTATTAAATACACTCAACGTTCCCCTCCTCCCTTAAAAAAAAATTACAAAATAAAAAATTCCAGGAGCCTGTCGCTGTAGACATTTTCACCGTTCTGATGTGCTCTCGGCTCTGGCCCCCGTGATGGAGCCCTGCTGAGATCAGTCTGGCAAACAAACTGAGTAGAACGAAGCGGCAAATCAGCAGATGACTGTCGCCCTGCCAGTGTTTGTGCTGACTGAATGGCTGCCACTGACAGGAATAAAAAAAAAAAGCTCAACATTGTTTTGGCTGGGAGAAAAAAATATGGTGAAGGCATGCAGGAGGGTGGAAATAGGTACAAGCAGAGTGTTTATGTATATAAATCTTATTAAACATAAGGGAAATGGGTTATTAGAGGATTAAAGAGGTTAGCTCGGTTTGAGCATATGCACGTTGAGATACTACGTCGCTTTGGAAAAGAGCACATTTCTAATTAATCTTTTGCCGCTGTTGAAATGGAAAAAAAAAAAACCCCAGAAAAACAAGTTGCCACAAGAGGAAATGTTGCATATGGGTGTTATTTTAGCGGCAGCCTGGGTGTGAGCTAATAAACATGACTAGAAATGAAGGTTTTGATCTAATAATTGAAGCTAGTCCTGATTAGAATAAAAATATAACAAAATGCTTCACTATTAAGGAAAAGATCTTCTTTTACATCAGACCCAGCTCCTTCAGACTAGTAAGCAACAATTAGCAAACACCTGGTGGAACTGCACATCAGCTAAGCCCATTATACGAGCTGTTTCACAGTAAAAACATAATGAAAGAGTTAATAGAGGAGCCATGTTGTGATCCTTCCTGAAGGCGGAGTTTCAGGAAGAGCAGGAGTTTTTAAAGAGACAGAGACCCAATTTGAAAGTAAAATTTCTTTATTGGCACATTTGATACATATATACAGCATTTTTCCAACTGAATGTAACACAGTGATTTGATAATGCTATAAAATGGCACATTGTGGCTGGAATACACATAATACCTCCCCTTCAGTCAGAGGTAATACTGAGCTCATTTTATTGTCTCTTATTCACCATCTTTGAATGTTAAAGAACAATCTGACCACAAAACGATAAAGCTTGAAAAGCAGACAGATTTTTATGATCAACAATAATCCTTTATTGGCAAGGTTACCCGGTGTGGAGTCACCTCTGGAGAACTGAATATCAATTTGACAAACTATAGAGATTTTTCTCATTAGGTGGACAATTAGCTTGTGGTGTATTCATTACCGAAGATCCGTCAACCTCATTAATCACCTGGAACAGTCCGAGAGTTGTACCTGGGACTGTTGCCATTAGCAATCCGCGACGAGCTCATGGATTCTTCTCTCTGGTTCGGGGTTGAGAGGACACTTTCAAGTAGCTAAAAACAGAGAGAGAGAGAGAGAAGACAAATGAAAACTCTGTTGCATTAATATTCCAACGTTCCCGTCCGTCCTCTGATTTCACTTCCAACCATAATGGCTTCCTCTGTGGCCCTTGTCCAGAGGAGAGTGTATTTGGCTGCCACCTGAAACCTGCCTGAGATCAAAGGGAGGAGGAGGGAGTCCTGCGCGTAGCTGATTAACCTGCTGGCATACTACTGACACAGTCCTTTAGCTCCCTGAGCTCCCTCGCAGCCATAATCACGCTCCTTCCCAGCTGGATATAAACGGAGCACTTGGCTAGATTTTCCTCTGAATATTAAAAAAAAAAAGGCAGGCAGGAAGGAAGGAACGCTGCGGCTTTATGTGATTGCGTCGCGTTCCCAGCCCGGTGTAATTTATTGTAATGAAGGCAAATATCTGAACTGCGCACCGGGTGGGTGTGAGGACAAGCAGAATACGATATGCGCCCAATCAGGCGGCTCCCTCCCCAGACGCTCACATAAAGTTAACATTCACCGCCTAAATCACTTGAGACAACACCGCATGCTGCACATTTGCGCAGTTATGAAACCATGTTAATATACCATGATGGGTTTCCGTTCCTTTTTTTTTTTCCATCTCGCCGACTTACTGGCTGACGTCATGCTGTCATCTGTAATTCTCTGCGGGCTCTTTGTCATTTGAAGACAGACTTCCGCGTCTCAATCCTCCGCTCCCGACAGACCGCCATTGTCAAACAAAACGTGGCACACGCAGTGGGGGAAGGTGTTGCACCAGAAATACTACTTAGTTCTCACTCACCACTTTCTCTCCAAAAGGCGGTTTGTTATATTTATAACGGACTTATCGTAACCCTTTATGTTTGTAGCAGTTCTCATGTAACAACCACAAACTTTAGTGTTTTATTTTGTTTTATTGGGAATCTATATAATAGGCTTAAAGTCTGTAACCTGTGACTCGGAGTCAAATGTGGCCCTTATTGCCCTTTTGTTGGGTATATATTACTTTTTGTTTTTTTAAAGAGGAGATATTATGTAGCATTAATTTTTGTGAGCTGTGTATCATATTATAATTCCCTCATCCAAAACACACCTGGAGTGTTGCTTTGATTCTTTAATGCATGTTTGAATCTCCCGTGGCAACCATTCGAGATGCCTTAACACTTAGCTCCGCCTATGTCCACGCAGCTCCTTCAGACTAGCCAGCAGCAATTAGCAGACACCTGGTGGAACTGCGAATCTGCTGAGCTCATCATACAAACTACTTCTCAGTTCAAAGCTCCTAAGAATGGTTGTAAACAGCTTGAAGGAGGAGCATACTTTTCAGGGTTTGTGGTCGGAATGTCGGAAAAGTGTGAAAAAATGTAAGGGGCTATAAATACTTGGAACATGTTAGCTGTGCTCTTGAGAGAAGCAAGTATGGCAGCGTTTTTTAAAGCATTTTTTTTTATTATTCTTTACCCCAAAAGACCTCCCACTAAGTCAGTAATGATCTCATTTGTATGCATTGTCCTCTTGAAATCTGTGCCGCTGTGGGATCTCACCCCCAGTGGGTCTGCCATACTTAGAATTACCACTTCGCTCCCCTAACTTTGCCCTCCTTTCCTCTCGAAGCTCCATCCGTCCAAACGACGAGTCACACAAAACCGTTTGCTGCTCCTATTGAAATCTAAAAAAAAGCAGATGGTGTCCAGTGGGAGAATTAGTGCTCACATTAACCGAGTTTTTACCTCTCATGAAGCCGGTTAAGCTTTGTTTGTACTTCATTTATCTGATATTATGTATTTTATGATGTATTTGCTGTATTTGTGTTTTTACTCTTTCCTGCAGGTGATTTTCTGCTTTTGTTTCATGCATATGATGTGTAATTCTTTGAATGTGGAGTGATTTAAACAAATGTACAGCTTAAAGTTCAACTAAATTGTGGAAAGAAAAAAAAAAAAAAAAAAAACCTAAAGCTTTTCTAAATCATTCTAAACGCAGCTAAACCTCATCATAAACCACTGTATAAATGTTTGTTGTCTGTTGCCAACTGTTTCAAGCTGTTTGTTAAACTCTCGAACTCCAAAGGCAACAGCGACATTGAGCGCTATCAAATGGCAAATAAGAAAATCCCGTTCAAATATACCCGGCCAGTAGAGGATTGGCTTCAGGAGAAAGGTAAACCTTTATTTAACTTCTAGAATGTTTTTCTTTCTTTTTATTTTTTTTTCCAATCATTTCATCGGCTTGCTCCCTTTCAACCTCCGAGAATGAGAAAACCCCTTAAAAAATCTATAAAATAAATCGTATTTTTATGTGATTTTTTTTTTTTTACCCCTCGTTTTTTTTGCCATCATCACCTCTTTTTTTTATACCTTGTCCAATCATGGTGTCCAGTTAAAGGGACTGCGACAGAAAGATCAGACACTCTTGCTCACACTGAATTTGACTGAGAGGAGGCATTAACCCTGCAGCTACAGCAGGGTGATTGTTTGGAGAGGAGGCTTAACTCCTCCGACTCAAAACCTCCACAGTGTTTGAGAACAAACTAATCAGCTGGCATATCCCCCCCTCTGAAAACATCCCTAATAACAGGAGTGTGTGTGAGGGGTGGGGCTCCTCTCTGCTGTAATTTATCTTCGTGTACTTATCACACGAAATGGAAATCCAGCCTGTTTTGATGATGGAAAGATAATTGGAGGCTTTCTGATGGCGGAGTGTCACGGCGCGAGCGGCAAGGTGCGCCGCCGCCCGACAGAGCCGCGCTTATTAATCGCTTGGATTATCGAAGCTGGCCTCTCGTCTGTCTTAAACACACACACACGTGTGGGCGGATGTCGAGGGAGCCCGCTCTCCTCCACCCCCCCTCCACCACCATAACGCGACCTTCTCGCGGTACATAATGCCACTATAAACTCCCCTTTTAAAATTCACAGCACATAAACGTCTTAACCTTTTCATAAAGTCCCTTTAACAACCGCTAAAAACACTGACAGGTTTTGGGAGACAAAAAAAAAAAAAAGAAAATATCCCATTACTGCTGCATGCATGGCTCCACATGTGTTATTTCATTTTCTGTGATATGAACGCCACCCCCCACCTCCACCCACCACGCCCCGTCTCCCTCCATACCTAATGTGTTCTGTGCTGTATAGCAAACACAGTGGAACAAAGCTTGCAGTGCTGCTAGTTTGTGAATTGCACAAATGAGAAATGTAATTATGATTCTTGTTTTGTGGAAGTTCCATGCATTTCAATTTCATAATTAATGCATGAGTAGTGTGTTTTGACTGTAATATTTAGTCGTCGTCTAATCAAATTCGCACGGCACATTAAGACTCATTTTGTCTTTATAACACGCCAAAGCCCGTGTATGTATTTATTCATCATTTTCCCGCACAAAGTCCAGCGTTTAGTCGGGGAATATATTATCCGTAGAGTAAACTTTCCAGCTCATTTTTTTAGATGTTACTTTCAAATTTGCATGTTCTCCATTTAAATGTGTTTATAGTATCACAGGAGGGCGAATGGTTATTTAGCTCTGCTACTTGCTTTGAGTAAATGTGCAGTTCTTTCTCATCATTTAGAACCTAATTTAATTGCGAACTGAAATACATTGCTTTACATAAGAATTTTTTTGGTATCACTGTAAATCCTGTACAAATGATGCACTTAGAGGTAATTTCTGTTGTTTACTGAACAGCCTTTGTGGACTCTGTCAAATTGCTCCATCGCCAACTTTGTACCCAAGCGTTACTACTAAGTTCCTTCCCATTTCCAATTCAAACCCGAAAGCTACTTTGCACAGGTCTGTCTTAAGGTGTATAATAGTTAATTTCTTCCTTGTAGATTAGTATTCTGATCAATATATATGTTTATATGTTATTTTTGAAACTTTTTTTTATTGATTGAGATGTGGATTCTTGTTTGATTCAATTGACTGGACAAACCAAATATAGTATGTTTTTGCCCATAGGCAAACCATATCATGCATGCTATTTATTGCGTAACTAAAGACAAATATACAAACGGACTTACTTCACTAAATCTTCTTGATGTTGAAGTACCATGTTGTTGTTACGAAACATCTTGTAGTTCAGTTTTGTACCTGAAAATGTTTGGTGAAAATTTTGAGATTTGAGACGACCAAATCTCAAAATGTACAAACTGGCGAAGGGGCAAAGTGACAGGCGCCCGTATGTCTTGCATTAGGTACCTTTCTTGTTTGCCTCTTCACCCTTTTGCTCTTCTTCCTGTCCCAGGCCGGCAGCTGACAATCTTCAACACCCAGGCCACTATTTCTATCGGAGGAAACGACCGAAAGCGGCCCTACCAAGGCCAGCTCTCCGGCCTCTATTACAACGGCCTCAAGGTTCTCAACATGGCCGCCGAGGGCCACCCTAACATCAAGGTGAACGGGAGCGTGCGGCTCGTGGGAGACGTGCCCACCAGCCGTGGCGCGACGCGCACCACCACTTCAATGCCTCCAGAGATGTCCACCACCTTCATTGAGACCACCACCACCCTGTCCACCACAACCACCCGCAAACAGCGCTCGCCACCGTCTATTCAGGTACAGCTCTTTGGGACTAATGAAAGGTGTACGTCGTGAGGTGTTGCGTCGGTTCCCAAGTGATTTTTGGCTGAGGGCGTGAGGCTAACGCTAGCATGTGTGGAAGCTGCAGCAGCCGATACGCTCTTCCCTGACAAAGTTGGTTATTAGAGTGGAAAGAAGATATGTTCAAAATTCAGGCTGGACATCCACAGAAGAAATTCATGTGTAGAAATATGCAAATGTACGTTGCTTTAAAACTAAACTTGTCAACGTTAATGCATTAATATTAGTAATGGAGATTAATTGCATCACCTATTTTGACCTAACAGCCTTTCTCCCACAGAGGGTTACTTGAAATCAAATCGGCACATTACACGGTCTTGTACTGTGGTTAACAACGCAGAGCCACAAACACAAGTGAAAAGATGTATGCTCAGCGGTAAATTTAGCTTTTAAAAAAAAACACGGTGGTTAGAGCAGACACTGTAGACGTTGATGTGTCCAGATTTCAAATCCCATCCTCAGCTCCTTAGCCACTTATCTTTCATCCCTTTCTCTTAAATTATTCAAATTAGTCAAATAAAGTCCACTAGTACCAAAGAAATTCTGAAAAAAAAAAAAAAACATATTGTTGAACTTTTGGATGAAACCAATTTAGTAGCAACGATGAATTATCCTTCCACCAAACCACAGCTAGCCTATAGTTAACATTTCTAAATTACATTTGAAGCAAAATAACTTCTTTCAAAGCTTCCCAACTATGAAAATCTTGAAAACTGAGATGTTGAGTTTGAGAAATTAAGACATTTCTTAAATATTTTCTTTAACATTTCAAGCTTACAAAGTTAAGTATAGTGATTAATCATGATTAATCAAGGTGCTCGAGTGTGATTCATGTGATTAAATTTTTTAATGGATTGACGGTACTAATAAAAACCGCTCATATATAAATGGTATTATCTTAACCTTTTCTGTTTAGCAATGCTTCAAAGCCAACAACATAAATATCCTGTGCAGTAGGCACTGGTTTCCTTTCAAATAGGATTCATACAAAATAAAAAACAACTTTAGTGTTTTGTGGAAAAAAGCAACAATTCGAACAGATGGAGGTTCAGTTTTCGCTTAAAGGTTTAAAAATGCCCCAAAGTGTAAACATGAGAACCATTCCCTGCTCTTTACTATTTAATGTGGTTTTGGAACGGACAGCGGTTTGGATTACGTCTGCCCTCCCTTTTTTTTTTTTTCCCTCTGCTTGATCAGCCAAGGTCAGGACACTGTATTTCTCATTCTGCCAGGGATCGAAGTGCTGCTGTTCGACGAGCCGTGCCTTTTCTGCTTCCCCATCCACCAATCTCCCTTCTCCTCCACCTCTTATCTGTCATGCAACGTGTTTCAGGACCGAGAGAGAGGGCTTCCTCCAATACGCTCCGAGTCCGAGCCAATGAATGTCACAGCCGTGCCAAGAAAGCAATCACGCCCAGCAGTCCTTTGACACCCGGAGCACAAATTGAACCCTTCATTGTCTATATTAAAGCAATAACTCTCCCTCATGAGTGAGACGTGGCTGTTGTGGATGGGAGGTTTGGCTGTTGTGGATGACAGACCACTGTTATCTCCTTCTGCACCTCGGCATCAGATTGTCTGCTGCGCAGTCATGATGACCCTCCATGTCAGTGCTGACACTTCTTACTCTGCACGGGAGTGGCCGTGCAAAATGCCAGGCCGAAGTCGAAGTGAAGATAGAAAGATACACGACAAAAACAAAGCAATCCGTTTCCTTCCCCTCCATGAGTCAGCGATGATGACTTAGCCGAGATACATTACCGTCTCTGGCAGTAACAGCAAGGTCACATCATAAAGAAGATGGCTTGTGTCGTCTCAGGCAAATATTAATATCAAGTGAAGTCAATAAAGTTCTTCCTCGGAAAGACCTTTTTGACAACGCGCTCGACTTTTCAAGGTGAAACGAGCAAATATCTCTCCCGTCGATATCCGTAATGCCTCCATTAGATGCCAGACAATGCTCCTTGGTAACTCAACAATAACAATGTAGTTGCCTGGCCTCTCCAACTTTCCATTTTATTTTTGTATTCCTTCTGAGAAAACGCCTTGGTCATTCTTCTTCCACCAGCCACCGTGACAGGCCCGGCTTTGATTCACGTTGCCGCGTCGCAGTATTTCATTTGCCGAGGCCTTTAATTTTACAGTTCCCCAGCCGGCTGTCAGACACCGTGGTGCGAGCGGTAAGGAGGGGACCTGTACCCGTTTGGCAGATTTCCCCCACCCCTCTGGGTAGTGTAGGGGAGTTTAGGGAGTTGAGCTATCATTAGTGATGTACTGCAGTGCTGGAAAGAGCTGTAGGCCCCTGTCGCGGTACTGGACTCGAGCACATGAGCAGCTGTTTCCAAACCCGGGGTGCCTGAGTGGACTAAAATGTGTGTGTGTGTGTGTGTGCATATGCGACCGGGGTGTGTTCACAGATGTCTATTTTAGGTCCACTGAACCGAGTCTACCTGTTTTGCCGTTCCGAGACGAGAAGCGGCTCGTCCCCTGACATCTCTGCTTCAACAGGACGAGAGGCAGGGGTGTGAAGTGGAGAGACCAATCTCACGCTTAATTAATGATGGCTCCATGGGGAGGGACATGCACCGACATGACAAACACCTTTCATTTTCTTTTTATTCTCTCTTGCTACCGCTGTCGTGTTTGGTTGTTTTGTGGGACACCTGGGTTATTATCAGGGGAAAAAAAGCACCAGTTTGACATTTTCAACAACTTTTTATTGACTTTGTGCAGAGAATTGGCGTTTGTTTGTTTTTTTTTTGTTTTGTTTGTTTTTTGTTTTTGTGGTTTTTAACTGGTCAGGTTATTTAGACGGTGTGCTAAGCTTTAAACGTTCATCCTCAGATGGCAAGGGCAATGTTTTGCAAAACGCACTTCATTTTTGGAAAATCATTGAATTTTTGATTTCATTCAACTTTTAAACTTTTTATTTTTTATTAAATTTATCTCAGAGTCAGATAGGACCACCGACTGCCATTATATTGATTGCAAGTAAAAGCTTTGAGAAAGAAGTATGGATAAAAGCACTTTCAAACAAGTGATGGCTTGATTTGGATAATTTTTTAAATCCGGGGTTGAATGCAACCCTGGATCTACACCCAGATATCAAGTAACTGAATCATTATAGCATGAGGTACATTAGACTGAAAGTAAATTAAACCAATTATGTGACTCACTTGAAGAAGGCATTCGATTCTCAGCAGGTTCTTTCTGAAGACATGCATTTTGAGGGGGAAAAAATGCAGATTTTCTCCTTAATCTTGCCTACAAGTAAACAAAAGAAATCTCCCTTTCAGTCGATTTAGATGTGCCTGCATTCAGTTTGTTTATCAGCTGCACAGCTACAGGAGCAATTTTAAATGGTTTTTACTATGTCCTCTTTGTTTCTTCTTGACTAAATAATCTGAGACCTGACACTGAATATGTCAGCGAGCTACTTTTTCCTCCTTCATGTTTGCCGGCTGCTTTGTTGTCAAAATCTCAGTGTCTTCTGAAGATTCATCTTTCTGTGCTTTATCCATTTAGAATTGAGAACATTTTCTTTGATCATGTTCTGTAAATAAGGGTGACAAATGCAGTTTAAGCTCCCTACAGGCATTCCTTTTGAACCGTGTATTGTTTAGTTCTGATTGCCCACACTGCTACTTTTTGACATTTACGGGTACTTCAAACTTTACTGTGGATGAATCTATACTATCACCTTGCCTCGTAGCATTTCACTGAACTTGCAAGACAAGGAAATTGTTTACTGAAGGATTAATCCCACCAGCTAACTAGCTAGCAAACAAGTTAGCAAACTAGCGAAAGGAGAAAAGAAAGAAAGACAGAAAAGGATTAGCTCTATTAGCTTTACAAAATGAGACAGTTCTAGTTGTCTTAAAGGGCTTTTTGAGGAAATTTATATAATTGGTATGTAAAACAAATTCAAAAGTGTTGTGACTCTAAGGGGAACTATCTCAAGAGACGATTTCTTCACATTAGCAATGTAGCTTTAAAAGCCACTAATCTTATTTCAACAAGTCTGACACAAGTGGGAAACAGAAAGATGTGTTTTAAAGCTTATCATTTACATGTCAAAAGGGCTACTTGACTAGCATTTACAAAAGCTAAATATGGTGCAGATAACAACCAACATACGCTAATGTGAAACTGCCCTCACCTGACACATTTTCACATGATGACGTGAATTTTTCTTTTCAGGTAGGACATTTTTTTAAAAGAATGCAACGAGAGTAGGAATAAATTCTCCCTTTTCACTCCAGTTAAATTTCTCTTCAACAAATTGTAACCTTGAAGGCTTAAAAGTTTCCATTGCAAAAGCACAAAACACACTTAAAAAAAAACACACACAAAAAATGAAGTGATAAACTACAGCAGGTATTCCTTTTCAAGTGGATCTAAAAGCTCTCCAGATAAACTGATTTTAGACCAAATGCACCAAAGCACTTTTCCTACATTTTAACACTGGCTGATTTGGCGAGGATAGTCAAACTGGGAATACTCATTTATTCTGGGCACTGCATCATGGGAGATCAGCGTCTCCTGTCCACAATTAACTCGCTACGCTCATGTGAGATGTTTGGGAACAATTAGAACGGGAGGGCTGCAATCTAGAGTACCGTGGGGGGAAAGTGGCGAGGGACAGACGCCGCAAAGTGATTTGCATGTTTGCCATGTTAAAGAAATTGCTCGCGTCCATCATCTTCAGCTGGTCCCCTTTTGCTCAGGAGATGGGCAATGAGAAGCAAATTGTTTGTTGTATAATTGGGATTTTATCTTACTTTTTTTGCTCAGGCTTGGATACATTTTCAATGATAAGTTTTGTGTTGAATCAGTTGCTATTTCAGTATGTTTATGGAGTTTTTATCATTAAAGAAAGCCTGAAAAGCAAACATTATATATATATATATATATATAGTTTATTTTTATGTTGTATATTTTGTCATGGTAGGACA